TCTGTAGTTGAAATACTGCAGTTGGACTAGTGTATGTCACTGATAATGAGATTAGGTACGATCAGGTAAATCCATTAACAGCTTGCAAAGAGCAAGAAAGACAATTCAGAGGACCTGTCCTATTCACAGTAGCCATTTTCATACATATAAGAGCTATAGTTTAACTGTAGCTATACTTAAACACATGTTATTCCTATGTGGCATCAAAATAGCTATTCTGGTGTGTGTGTGTGTGTGTGTGTGTGTGTGTGTGTGTGTGTGTGTAGCAAGGCTCAAAACACCATGGTGAGTCATCCTTAAGTACCACATTAACATTTCAAACACAGAAACCTATTCAAATCAAATGTGAATGGCCCTATCTGTTTGGCAGTGTGCCTGTCACCCAGAAGCTCAAAATAGCCTTTTAGAGATCTAAGCAGTCTGAGCTAGTGGCATCTCAACCTATTACTAGCTGTCAGATATTTTATGCATTCAAGCAGATAGGCAGGCAAAGGTTATGTTTTCTTTGAATTATTAATGCAGAGGTCTGTCTTTTAAGTTGAGAAATGAAATGAAGAGACTAGGAGTAAAATAGGAAATTTTCAAAGAAGAAAGCTAGGCAGGTTATTTCATCCACCTCTTCACCTTTAGAAAGAATGGCATTAAAACAGTCTAAACAGATGAGAATTGATACTATTTTTACGGACCTTAAGTGACAAGATTGTACAACTCCGTCTTCACCATACCACATTTCTTGTCAGCAATTTGCAGTTAAGAAATTTTCCTTTGCATCTAACACAAAGGCTCTGACCAGGCTGATCCCATTTCCTCATCAATGTTCTTCAGTTCAGAGAGACAACATTCTTAGTGAAGTTTCCTCACGTACTTGGAAACTATAATTAAATAAATCTTCAGGTTTCTCTTCTAATCTCCAAAACATTTCTTCAAATCTTCCTCTTAGACTGTTTTTTAAATATAATCATTTTCATGGCAATTGCCTAACTCAGGGGTTTCCCAAGCTTGTCTGTGCCTTGTAATCACCCAAGGATCTTCAAACACTGTTGTCCTATGGCCAGAGATTGCAAATTAATAATCTGGCATATATCTTGTATCTGAGGATTCTTAAAGATTCCCAAGTATTCCAAAAATGCAGACAAGTTTGGCCATTGCAGTCTGAATCTGCTGCCTATTACTTTTCCTTCTTATTGAATCTTGATACCGGCTCCAGATAAAGGATCTTGATTGGCCTAAACCAATGGATCCCATTCTTTCCTGAAATCAGAGTCATGTTTTAACAATAAGGATGCTTGGATTCCATACACAAATTAAATCAGAACATCTAGGGGTAGGGCACAGGGAATCAATACCTTTAAATATGCTCTTTGGGGGCTGGGGAGATGACTCGGTCCATAAAGTGCTTGCTACTCAAGTGTGAGGACCTGAGTTTGATCCCTACTCCCAATGTTTAAAAAAGCCAGACACTGCCACACACACCTACAATCCTAGTGCTGGATAGGGGAAGACAGAGGGATGGCTAGTGTTCATTGGTCACCCAGTCTAGTCAAACAGGGGAGCTCTTGATTTAGCGTGAGATTCTATCTCAAAATAAAAAAGGTGAAGAACAATAGGAGACAGCTGACATTGACCTCAGGCGTCTGTATGAATGTGCACATGCATGTACACACACACACATACACACACACAGCTCTCCAAGAGATAGGTATGGCGGTGCATGCCTGAAATACCAGCACTCAGGAAGTGAGACAGAAGGACCAGGAGCTCGAGGCCAGCCTAGGCTATATGAGACCATCTCATCCCCTACCTCCACTACCAAATGCCCTCTAGCTCTTTTGAATGTACTAACCTGACGAAAGGCATTAGCGCACGTCAGTGGTTCTCAGATTATTTTCCTAAAACCAGTAGCAGCAACTGGGAATTTCAAGTACAGTGAACTCTCAAGTCCTAACCTGGGTCTGTTAAATTGGCATGTCTAACAATGGAACCCAGCAATCTCTATCTTGATAAGCCCTCTAGGGAACTTCAACACTTATCTCTGTTTGAGAACTGTAATAAGCCCTTCCTCACTTTTCCCATACTCTCTTGACACAACAGATGACCATGTGGTTCAGTTTTAGCCAATGAGATCTGCCAGAGGTCTTCTAGAAACAGGTAGTCTGTGACAAGCCTTTTGCTTTCTTGACACAGAGAAACAGAGACGGCTGACAGTGTGCTTCTGCTTCTTCCTGACAATCTTGAAGGCAGTGATCCCTAGAAACAACTATCATTTGGAGACTATTAAAAAATACAGCTGAAGAAGGCCCAAGAATAGAGACTTTTCCTATTCTCCTTCTCTTCCTCCTCCTCCTTTATCTCCTCCTCCTCCTCCTTCTATGAGACAGAGTCTTCCTACGTAGCACCCCCTGGCCTTGCTATAACCATGTACACCAAAGTAGCCTTGAACTCATAGAGATCTGCCTGCCTCCTGTGTGCTGGTATTAAAGATGTGCACCACCACAACTGGTTAAATTAAAGACTTTTATTTAGAGTTAAGCATGCTGAATTTCAGGGAGGATCACCTACCAATTATGGTTTCTAAACACTACACCTGAGGGTCCCAAACCTGGCTACATATTTGAATTATCTGGTGAAACTTACTTAAAACAATGCCCAAATTCCACCCCAAATATACTGAATTAGAATCTCCTAGAGTTGGACTGTGAGACCCTCTAACACCACAAAGTGACTATTTTGTCCACAGCTGGCCCAAGGCCACCTTGTGCCTAACACAAAGGCAGAAAATTTGAGGAAGAACTCACTCTCAGGGTTGTGTGAGGGTAGGTCTGAGAGCTGCCTTAGCTTCACATCCTAAGCACCTCATTTGGCCTCATTCCATCTCTACTTCAGTTCAGATAAGGTAAACTCAGCAGGTAGAATCTGCCATTTGCCATGATATGGAAACCTCAGTCAAATAATCTTTCACAAAAAATAATCAGCTAATCAACTGATTTTTTTTTTCAGCATTGATTCTGGCAGCATGAAGATATAGTCTCTACAAATAATGCTACCTGTAGTCTGTTTTCAACTTAGGGTGTATAAGTGGGAGATCAAATGACTTCAGTACCCTTCTGAGTCCAAAAATAATTGTAGCCCTGGTTGTTTCCATTCCTTTCATCCTCAGGAAACAGGAATGTGATCTTGTGAGAGAAAAATTCAAATAGGTAAATCAATAGTTGTCAGAGACTGGGTATGGTAGCTCATACATTTAACCCCAGCACTTGGGAGGCAGAAGCACGAAGATGTCTGTGAAATCAAAGTGAACCTGGTCTACACAGTGAGTTTCAGGTCAGCTGAGGCTACAGGGAGACCCAATCTCAAAAAGTCAAAATAAGAACAAAACGAAAGTCAGATATCAGCATGTTGGTGGCAGAATCCAAGACCAAAGACTTCATGTAGCTACTAAATAGTCAAGTGTCAGTTACTTGAATTTAAAATGGACACTAGTAGGTGTTTGTAAAAATATGTGCCAGGGCTTGGCTATTGCTATTTCCCTTAAGCATTTTAGAACACCTAAATGCTGCAGTCACCCGAAATAGAAGTGAGGGTAACTTAACCCAAAGTTGTGGTTCCCGTGTCCTGCCCATGTTGAACAGAGTGAATACTAATGAATCTCAGCCTAATATTCTGGAGCCGCCTAGGAATATGTTGATAGGGTGAGCAGCAGAGTGGGGTGCTGGCTAGGCAGACTAAGAAGGCCATAGCTTTGCATGCAGCAGTGCTAATAGACAGAATGAAGCTATAAACAAAGCTGTCTAACTCCAGGTTCTATGGCTCTTGCTTTTGATTTTATGGGTGTGGAACTGACGGGAACAGCTGGCAGCATGCAGAGAAGACAGATTGGTGAATTATGAGACAGCCCTGTTCCCACATCCTTCCTTCTTCCATAGCAGTGGCATTGGATATAGTTCTTCTAAGATGACCAGGGAGCACCCCAGCATCAGGCCAATCATTTACAAATGGCTGTCAAAAATAACAATTACTCTGCCCTGCTCCTGTATGCTAGAAACCTTGCTGTCTCTTTCGAGTGTGTGACTCTGTGCATGGCAGCAGGAATAGTCAGACTGCCAAAGGTCCTGTATCCTATTGTGGGGAGGGGATTAGCAGCTGCCCTACCTGTGTGTCAAGAATGGAGCAATTGCTTGGAAACTGCTTCCCTTTTCTGGCAGCTTCAAAACAGGCAAAGGAGCACTGAACAGCACCTGCTATGCTGCTACTGGATCGGATCAACACTCAAATGTGTCAAAGGGTTTGGAAGAGGCCCAAAGGTGTTTGGCAGTCAGAATGATTCAGAATCCACACCTGGTACCAGAGTGTATGCCACACAGACTGGCCAGGGCACCCTGGCACATCTACTGTGCTCCTGGCTTGAGGAGGCTCTGTCTGCAAGCCACACAACCTTAGCACAAAGCTGTTTCTATAAGACACATCCTCAAGTAGGAAGGGAAGAAATGACATGATGTCTGGAATTTAAAATATTGAAATATAAGAGGTTTAGCTAAATGATGATGATGACAAAAGGGGCCAGATCAAGCAAATCTGGCAGAATTACAATGGTTACTGAATCTGAGTATTGAATAGAGATTTTTCTATTAGGTTAAATTGGATTATTCTATTCTTAGAAAAGTTAGATGATTCTATTCTTTCTTATTTTCTGTGTTTGAGCACTTTCATAATTACCAGTCTATTTTAAAGCTTCAATCAATCATTGTAAAGCCTGTAGACCTTATAGAGAGTCAATGTATGCCTTTGTATACTCCTCTTTTTTTTTTTCAAAGAAACTTCAAACAATAAAAAGCCAGATCTGTGGGGGGCATTATTTAGACTGTTACACTCAGTCTCATATTGTTTGGGGGAAGGACCTTCAGCTTTCAGTGAACTCATGGCAGGACCACAGCTCAAGAAATCTGAGTACAAATTTTGGTCTGTTAGTTGACAGTCAGGCAGTCCTTAAATAAGTCTCTTACCCACTTTGCAGCTTTTCTTCCTCTTTAAAACGGAAGTGACTTGTTAATGACACCAGCTTCATAGGGTTTTGGGGGATCCACATAAGTCAGTACCCTGTGAAGGGGTAAGAGTATTGCTTGTTAGTAACACTAGAAATATCACCATGGAGCAGGCAACCAGGTGTTCTAGCCTCAGTGTCCACACTATGAAGGGGGAATTTCCATCATGGTCCTAAGGTAATAACCATGCAGGAAGTATGTTAAACTGCAAGTTTCAGGACTAGGGATGTGGCTCAGTTGATAGAGTGCTTGTCTAGCATGTATGACATCCTGAATTTGATTTCCCAGCACCACATAAATCAGGCACGGTGGCATACACCTATAATGTCAGCAATGAGAAAGTGGAAGGCAAGAGGATAGAAGTTCAAGGTCATCTTTGATTACACAGCAGTCTGAGGCCAGCCTGAGCTACAGGAAACTCTGTCTCAGCATAAAATAAAATTTGGATTTCAGGCCCCACCACAGCTCATTAAATCAGGAAGGTTGTGGTGTTGAAAAACCATGTAGCTAAATTCTGTATTGCGCCCAGAAGGGGCCGCTGAAGTAAGTCATCGTTGTAGAGGTCCTTTCATGCCGTAACAGCCAAAATGAGTATTTGGGGATCAAGAATGTATGTGGCAACCTACTTTGATGGATAGATACAGACTTAGAGCCATTTCATGGTGAACAAGTCAAAATAAACCAAAGAGACCCACAATGTCCTGATGGGCAGAGGTCTGTATAGTCAGGGTTGGCACATCAATTAAGAGAATAGAGTAGGATAGTTGATCTGAGCTCAGGTAGCCTACATGGAAGAATGAGTGGTGAAAGGCTCCCCAAAGCCACCTGGAAGAGCTTATAGCGGAAAAGAGAAATGACTCAAATGAGACAGCAGTACTTCTAACTTCTGTAGTTACAGGACCCTTGAAATGGCTCTGAGCAGTAGGGTCACATGCAAGAGGGTGACCCTCCAGGCCTATGCCTCCTTCAATGACAGGCCCACATGATTTGCTGCGCACCATGTCTATATTCATCTATTGGCTGCCATTCTCCTTATCTTTGCAGTACATTCCAACATTTGTGAATGCTTGCTTACATATCTCTCTTCCCAAATTCTGATTTCATTCAGAATTCTTTTCTTTTCTAGAAAGCAATCCAGTTCAGGGTTAACTGCCTGACGTGCTCAAGGTCTTGTGCTAAGGACCACAGATAACATGAATAAGAGGAAGAGAGAGTTTTGCTCTTATTTAGCACCAGCCTATTGTGGGGAAGGAGAGAGGCAGATAAGCACAGATAACAACAACACAAGACCCCCGGAAAACACTACTAGAATGTGTGAGCTGTGTTGGGGTTTTAAGGATGGCCACTTTTGAAAAACTTCATGGCAAAGTATTAGAGACCAGCCTTGAATGGTTTGAGGGAGACTGGAATCAAAGGCATGGAAAAGAAAAAGATGATTTGTGTTTGGAGAAAAGCAAGAAGTACCATCTTGAGTGGGTCCTGGAATGAGCAGAAGACAGGGCACAAAGGTAGACTGGGGCCAAACACAAGTGTGCACATCAGCCTGGTATGCAAGAAGGGCCCTGAAAGGTTTGGAGACGTGACCTGATGAGATCCAGGCAGAACTTTGAGAAAATTGACTTAGTGCCATTGAGCAGACTTAGGACCAGCCTACCTAATATGAAGATGGTAGGTGAGTAACAGGCTACAGGGCACCCCCATATCTTCAAACCCAGAGTCCAGGAAAGCATGGAGTTGGGGCTGAGGAAGAGGATACCATGAGGTGTTGTTCTTAAAACCATATGTTGTGTGAGACAAAAGGCCCTCTTCTCTATGCCTGTACCTAGGTCTTCAGCTATTCCAACTTCCTGAAATAAATTTGAAACACAAAGTCATGTTTCTTCCCCAGGAGAACCTGCTTACAACATTCACTTCTCACCTTCCAGCAGCCATTACATGTGGATCTGCAGGAACAAAGCAAAAGTAGTTACAATGAAGGCCTGGGACTCTTTCCTTTGTACCCCAGTCCTTCTAAGGAATCCCTAAGCCAGAGCGTTTTACTCTTTCCTGTAAAAGTTCCACTCCTTCCCCCCTTCATGATCTTCAAAACCTCACTCTGATAGCTTTATCCCTCCTGCTTATCCACTACTTCTCCCCACATTCCTCCTGCTCTAAACCATCATCTCTCTCTTTGATGACTGCCAAAGCCCCCAACTGCTTTCTAATAGTTCCTCCTCCTTCCTGGCTCTACTCACCACGCCACAGATACAGAAACACATACCCAGCCCAAGTGGTCCTTTTATAGGAAAAGTATACGGTATCTCCGCCTGGTTGCAACCCATGAATGGGCCCCTCATACTCAGACTGACATCATAAGTCCGTGTGACCCAGGGGCTTTTGTGGTTTGGCCCCCGTCTCCCACTCTTGCCCTTTTTCTCCAGCTTGTAGCCTTCTGTTTGAACAACGAGGGATCTGTGCCAGGCCCAGTCTTGCCCTTGCTTTCCCCTCTTCCTGGAATGTCCTTCCCAGACAGCTGGCGAGCCTGCTCACTTCCTCTATGACTCTATTTAAATGCCACTACCTTAGACAGGACTCACTGAATCCCACTATCACTCTCTACCCACTGACCCTGCATCATTTTTCTTTGTAGCATTGACCACAGTCAATATTTGTGTTGTGCGTTTCTTCTGCAGTAGAATATAAACTCCATAAAGATAGTGTCTCCATTTGGCCAACCTCCATAGGCCAAGATAAGGTCCAGGTTTTCGATACATATTTGTCAAGTCAGGAGCCAGTGAGATGGCTCAGTGGGTAAAGGCACCTGCAACCAAATTTTATCAGTCCCCAGGACCCACATGGTGGAAGGAGAGAGCCCATTCCCACAGGTTGTCATCCTCTGACTTCCACATATGCACACACACACTCTCTCTCTCTCTCTCTCTCTCTCTCTCTCTCTCTCACACACACACACACACACACACACACGAGAGCGCACTCACACAGATTGTCACCCTCTGTCTCCCACATATGCACACACACTCTCTCTCTCTCTCTCTCTCTCTCTCTCTCTCTCTCTCACACACACACACACACACACACACACACAACCAGTAATTAAATAAAATTATAGTTGAAGGCCACGCTGGGCTACATAATAAGACTCTGTCATTCATATATATGTATGTATATACATGAGAGAGCCAGCTGTCATCATGAAGAGATTTGGGGCAAGGTTGTCAGAGCTTCTGCTTACTCAATACAATCCAGAAATGTGAATATGCCTTCCCTCTTGCTCTTCACCTGAAAATCCTAGCTCCTTCCAAGGCCTCGGGCCGATCTGAAGCATCCCGAGATCACTCTTTGATCCTGAAAATCTTTCTGTTCCTATAGTATTGACAGCCCCTGGGCAGCAGAGCGTGAAATAACTAAACCAAATGTCAGAAGGATTGGGTCAGGCTGCACCAGTTATGCAACTTCGGCGAGTCATGGGACCTCCTGGAGCACCAGTGTCTTCAGACCTAAATTGGAACCTATGATTTTGCCTTGCTTTCCTCTTAGCAGGCTTCAGAATACCTACTACCCTGCAAACTCCAGGTTATTATAGGAACTAATAACCATAAGCCTCAAGGTTGCAGTTAATATTGCTGAGACACGCACGTGCTCCTCTCTGCTTTCCTAGACCTTCCACCCCTTTTCTTCACTCTTCAAACCTCCATCTCCAGGCTAGGCCGATAGCAGCTTCCCATTTCATTGAAAACATGGAAACAGAAGAGAATTTCAACAAGCTACCACCAAAACATCTGCCACCCACCAACATATATCCCAACTCTGCTATGAATAAAGCCAGCAAAAATCGACTGCACTGAATATGGCCTAGATCCCTTTATCTCTCTCATATTCACGAGAGCTGCACTACTAATTCTCCTTTGCATCATCACTTCTCTTTCTACCAGAGCCTTTTCATCAGCCTTCATCTTTCTCATCATCAAGAACAACAAAATCTGTCTTCATTCTACTCTTCTTTCTCTTTTCCTTCATAGCAAGGTTTTCTGTAGTTGTTGCTTCTAAGTTCCCTCCTCTGCTCCCATCACTATGTGCCAGAGGCTCTGCCCCGACCCTACCCATAGTGTTCATGCCAAAATCTCTAGTCCCCACTCTACTACCCTCCCATGGTTAGCCCTGGTACTTCTTATCTGGTCCATGAGCTGCATTAACAGATTTCATCATCTGCTTCCAGGATGTCACATTTGGTTTCTTTGTCTCTTACCCTGCCCCTAACTATTCTGTTTGCTTTGAAGGTTCTTTCTTATCTCTGTATCATCTGTTTGTGTGGGTGGGGTTGTTGTTACTTGTTTGTTTTTGGTTTTTGAGGCAGGCTCTTACTACATAGCCAAGGCTTGGCCCAAACTCCTGGTGATCCTCCTCCCTTATCTTTCTGTGTGCTGGGATTATAAGCATGTGCCACTATGCCAGGCTTTATCTATACTACATGACATCTAAAGGTTGGAGTGCCCCAGGTCTTCGTCTGGTTTCTCTTCTCATTTCCCTTTGTTTGTTTGTTTTTTGTTTGTTTTTTTTTTTTTTTTTTTCATCGTTCTCATTGGATCTCATGGCTCTAAATGTCATCTGATGCTGATGACTTCCAAATGTGCAGGTTTAGGCTGGACCTCTTCACTGAACTCCTGATTTAAAAATTCATCTGTCTAGTCACTCAATGAACTGTCTTAAACTGACGTTACCAGCACTGAACTCTAACTCCCTTCACACTCCCAAACACTCCACCCAAATCATCCCCTCTTCTGTTAGATGAAACTGTACTCACTTCTTTATCCATGAGCTATTTACTTCCTATGTCCCAGGGCCTGATATAAAATCTTCTAGGCTCACAGAGGGCTAGGAGTAGAAAGAAAAGAATCCACGGATGATTGCAGTCAACCAGAACTACTCTTTAGTTCACATTCTCAGCATTATTTTCAAAATCTATCAAGTCTGTCCGTTTCTCCTCACATCTAGTCCTGCCGTTATCTCTGTCTGCATATGGCATTAGCCTCACAAATGGTCTCCCTGGTCTTACTCTTTCTTCTCCAAAGCCCATTCTTAATCTAACATTCAGAGTGATTCTCTTAAAATTCAAATCAGAGCCAGGTGTGGTGGCACATGCCTTTAATCCCAGCACTTGGGAGGCAGAGGCAGGCGGATCTCTGTGAGTTCGAGGCCAGCCTGGTCTACATAGTGAGTTCCAGGACAGCTGGGGCTACAGGGAGACCCTGTCTCAAAAAGACCAAAAAAATTCATTTCAGAGTGTTGTCGTTTTGCTCTTCAAAAATCTCCTCATGAATACTCAGTGCACCCTACAGAGAGCCGAAGGCATAGCAAAGGCCTGCGATGTTTTCCTTATGGCCTGACCCCTAGTTGTCTCTGAACTCTTCCTTACTCATTGTATTCCAGCCACTCTGGCCTCTTCTTTCATTCCTGGAATCTGTTACTAGGGTAGGTTTCAGGGTATGCTGTGATGTGATTCCAGGTTCTTTGTGTCTCAAACAAACTGTACAAGACACAGTAGTAGTGAAAGCACACAGTAAAAGTGAGTGTGAAGCACTGACAGCATGTGCTTCACACAGTGGGAGCAGGCTCCAGCAAGCATGTGACGAGAGCTCAAGGTTCTCCTTCAGGGCTCTTCTAATGAGTTCAGGCAGAAGGAGGAGCTGATCCCCAAGGAGCAAGAATGGGGTGAACCCTCACTTTGATTGACAAATGGGCATTTATATAACTTTGGATGATCTGTGCATGCATAGGCAGTAAACCCCATAATTTTTTTATTTTTTATTTTTATTTTTCTATTTTTTTTAAATAGAGCATAGGGTGGGGGTTTATTTACAGAAGAGTGGGTGCCTCAAGTTTCCACCTGGGCCGTAAAGCCCACACTCAAATACAGATCTTGTGACTTCCCAACAGCTGCACAAAGTGGTGAGAGAGGTGCCTTTTGATGTTCTCGGCTTATATATCCTTTGCCCCTCCCCCCACATGCAGCTAAGTTCGTCTTATTGGGTGGGAGGGGCAACTGACTCCCCTGACTCCTTGATGAGCATGGGAAGGAGGTGTGACTATAGCTTGCTGACACAGTGGTTGGAGGACGTTTCCAGTTAACACTCCACCCCTTCCTCTGGCTCCTACATTCTTTCTGTCAACCTCTCCCTCAAAAGTCCCTGAGCCTTGGAGGGGGTGATAGGTGTAGGATGATCTTCCTCCTGTTGTGGCAAGGCACTGAACTTTCAAGTCTGTACATCATCTGTTTTCCATGGGCTGTTGGCCAGTTTGAATGGGATTCCATCTACACCACGTGGAGGCCGGATCCAGGTGCTCTCAGGCAGTCTGCTGAGTTCTCTAAACCCTATAATTTTAAGTACATGTACTGTAGGTCATAAGTGAATGAGAGGGTAAATGGGGAATTTTTTCCCCCTGATAAGTTGCTTCAAGGACAGATTCACCCTCGCTGTGCTTGCTTCTGCCTGATACTGATTTAAGTCTGCCTTTTTTATTTTTTCCTACCAAGAAGTGCCTGACCTCAAATTACCCAGAGGAGGGTAGGTGTTGCCCTACCAGGAAGTCGATACACTTCTCCCAAAGAGAGTTGCCCTTGGCTGGACTGTCCCTTCATTCACCTACCTCAAATGCGCTGGACACACTCCTGCCTATGG